GGGCTCAGGATTAAAAGTGAATGTTGCAGCGAAAGCCGTGTTTTATATCTGATCATGTGACGGGCTTTTCATGTTGTTATCTTTGTGTGAAGTTGTGCGGTGAGACGTCGCTGTCGCCTGAATGTCATTCCTCGGGGGTCACCCTCAGGGTCTAGTATGGCGCCCCTTGTTCTTCCATCCCATCCATGACCTTTAATAATTGATACTTGGCATTTCCTGTGACCATTCTTCTTTCCTCTCATTGATCTCTCCAGGGGAACGTTGTCGCTGTGAAGTATCTGAACCAGAAGCGCATCGAGCTGACGCGGAAGGTCCTCTTCGAGCTGAAACACGTAAGCCTGTTCCTGGAGCCTGTGTGAGCTGCCACAATGCAATGCGCTCCAGTAATGGGGCCCCAGAGGTGTCCCTCAAGTCATGTGTCAGGTTCCTGAACTCCTTTTCCCTCCAGGAGGGCGGAGCCATCAAAGCTCAGCCTTCATCCAGGATCAACATCTACTTCAGGGCTAGGCAACCTTGCTGTGGTGAAACTACAAATCCCGTCATGCCTCTGGGAGCCATCCCTGTGGCTGTCAGAGTCTTGCAATGCCTTACAGTTTCACAACAGCTGGAGGGCCGAGGTTGCCTACCCCTGATTTACTTCCTGGGTTAAGATGGTGGCTCGGAGATGTCATGTAAATCCTGCTGCCCGTGAAGTTCCTGGCTGTGTTCACAAATGTCTGACACGGATCAGCCTCTGTGACTTGCTACACAGTTACAATGTATTGCCTGAGCGATCACTGGGGTGGAGGGGAGACTAGGGAAACTCTTCTCCATGCCTGCAGCAGACTGATGACATCATCCTAGACTAGGCAAAGTCACGGATGAGCTCAAGGATGGCTTTTTAATAAGGTGGAGCTGTGCCATGTGTCAGCGACTCATTCATAGACATCTGTAGATCTGATGACAGGTCCACTTTATAAAGGATCCGATATAAAAAAAAACGAGAATTTTTGTAAAATAATGACGGGAAGCAGAGACCAGAAATGTATCCAATTATATAAGGAATGGGTAAAAGGGAGGGGTTCTTGTTTAGGGGGCGGTCCTCCCACATGCGGCTCTTCCTCTGAGATACAGATCAGCGGGTATTGTAATACAGTCGGGAAGCTCGGCCTTCCATGACACGATGATCACGGCTGGCGGCGCTCTCCCCGGCCCGCCCTGGCATCTGGGGGCCATCCCGCCGCTGACACTTCCTTGGCTCCGAGCTGACACAGCACAAAGCTCTCCCGTTAAACATAAACAGCTTTGTTTGTTGTTGGTTTTATTGGCAGGGGCCCCGGGGGCCCGGTGACAGCGACCTTCTCAAGGAGGGAAGCGCTCGGTCTGTTCCTACCGCACACATCGCCGGGGGCTGCGGTTGTGTTACTGATATCAGCAGATGCGAGAACATCTGTCCCACGGATCCTCAACGTATCGGCCAAATCTTTATTGATCCCGCCATTGCAACATTTCCTGGCCACGCCCCCTTCGTCAGACATGAGTGCAGATTGCAATGGGCAAATATTTAAAGTAACATCCGCCAATCAGAAAAGAGCAAACCAATGTACCCCGTGACCTCTGACATCATAAGTCCGCCAAAAGGATGTAAATCAAATCACATGATCACATAATATTCCTTTTACATTGCTGATGATATAACAGGAGGGGGTGTGCTGGGACTCTAAGGGCCCGCTCACACCAGCAGAGGGTGTATGCAAGGAAGGAGCGGTGCAATGCATTGTAATGACGCAGCGCGCGGGTAAGCTTTTTGTTTTTTTTCTTTTGTAACTTTATTGAAATGTCACAAAATGAAATTTGATTAACCTTCATGCAACGCAGCACGTCGCAGTACGCTGCGCTGAAAAATGTGCAGATCATCCTTAGGGCAGATTGCCAGGTCTATGAGTTGGGAATGGGGCGAGCAAGGGATCCAGGCGTGGCCCCATGCATATAGTGTAAATGGGCCCGAATACCAGAGAGTCACATGTGCCAGGCTACAGCATGGTCACCACTCTGGTCACTGCTATACATCTGGTATGGGGTGAGATAGGGATGAACCGATACCGATACTAGTATCCGTGCCGATACCGAGTATTTGAGCGGGTACTCATACTCCCCTAACACGGCACCCGGCTTCCTTAATGGGACTTCCGGTATCGGTATTCAGTATCGGCGAGTACCGGAAAAAATACTCGTTATCGAAAAACCGGTATTGATGCATCCCTAGGGTGAGGAGAGGAGTCTGATGTGATACATCATTCCAATCAGAAGAGCTTGTGCCAAGACTTGCGTCCCATCGCCTGGCAATCAGCCATGCTCAGATGGACCAATAGCAATGATGAGGGTGGTAGACATACCGGGGCCTGGCATGTAACTCTTTTTTTTTAATGATCATGTGATTTCCTTTACTACAATATTGTTTACATCAGGTTTATGATGTCATGATGACATCAGAGGTCAGGGGGGGCCATTTTGTTGTTGTTGCTGTTTTCTGATTGGTGGATGTCACTTCAAATGCCTTCTGCACCTATCACATGCGGAATGAAGGGGTCCTGCGCGGCCTCGAAACGTTGTTACATTGACGCTTCAACAACGCTGCTAGTGTGCAGGCGACATATGTTCTCATCTTCTCACGGAAGCTTCATAAAGGGTCCCCCCGGCTGCTTCCTCATCAGAACGCGGATTCAGAGTTGGAGGGGCGACGAGGAGCGTTGTGCTGCCGCAAATGAAAAATCCATCTCGCCTAATGAAAAGAAAGGCCAAGCGCCCGCAGCTGCCGCGCACCGATTTTGTATTAGGCGCGAGCTCCTAAATCTTCCTTTTTAGTTTAATTTTTGGGATGGCAGACGCGGGTGATTAGCGCCAAATGGGGACGTGCGTTTATCTAGAAGATGACGACATTTAATCCGGTGATTGAATAATAGAGGAAGAGCGCCAATTCATTGGAAGGTCGGGAGGTCGCTCTCATAGACGGTGACGCGATTCATACAAACCATTAGCACTGTCACGGCAATGGAAAGGTCTGCAGCCCTGGACCCCACACCCTCATCAACTCTGAGCAGACAAAATCTGGAGCAACCAATCAGCTTCTCTGTTTCATTTTCAAATCTTAACTGAACAGACTGAAGAGAGATGCTGATTGGTTGCCCTGGGCAACTGCTCCAGATCTGTCTGCTCCAGTTTTTATAAATCCCCCCCATACAGTACCGAATTTGATGAACACGTGCTGACTGTTAGAGGAGTGAGGACGCCATAAATTGTACAACTCGAATTTATTTTTCTTTAAATGTCTTTTTTATTATTACATTATTATGTTTATTTTTAATATATTTTGTCTATTGTTATGTTAACTATTTTGTTTATTTTTTTGTTATGTTTATTATTTGATATTTATTATTTTGTTATTATTTTATTATTATTATTATTATTTTGTTTTTGTGTTAATGATTTCGTTATGATGCCGTTATGTTTTTATGTCGTTATGAAGTAATAAGAAAGCACCTCGGGAGGATTTTTTTCAAGCTGCAAATGTCTTTCTCAGATCAGCGCTGAGGCGTCTCTTCTGTGTCCTCATCTTCCTGCATGTACAACCCTCAGCTGGTTACCATGAATAAGAGATCGGAGGGCTGCATGGAGTGTGAACCACACTGACGCGGCTTCCTCTGATGTCACTGCACACTGCGAGCCTCTCACAATGTGCCTTAGAAGTCAGATAGAGCCCGCCTCCTTGCCTGGCTGGAGGACGCCCAGCATCATCTAGCACAGGGGTAGCCAAACTCCGGCCCTCCAGCTGGGGTGGAGCTACAAATCCCATGAGGCATTGCAAGATTCTCACAGCCACAGACATGACTCCCGGAGAGAGATGCATCATGGGATTTATAGTTTCACCACAGCTGGAAGGCCGGAGTTTGGCTACCTCTGGTCTAGCACTTTCCTCCACAGCCTGACTGTCCCCGCCGCTTTCATTCAATTATTTTAATCACGGAGGCTCAGCATCACAAGTGGGCGTTACCTAAGGCAGTCCGCATGCAAATACACTCTGCCTAGGACCGCCCACTCCTCCTGAGACTGATACCCACCCATCATGGCATTTTGATATTTTCATAACTCCTCCCCCACTGTTTGTATCAGGGCTGAGGGCTCCTAAGAGGAGTACTGTGATGGTTTCAGGAAGCTATGCCGGCCCCTCCCACCAGCCATGATTGAAAGACCTGATAGCTAATGAGTAATAGGGGTGGGATTGGGACAGTCAGGCCTGCATTGCATAGAGGAGCACAGAGACCCAGTGATGACATCACAGAGTCTAAAACAATGTCATGAAAACGGAAAGGTTTTTTATTTAAATTGGGGGGGAGAGGGGCGGGGCCAGGGAAGGTAAAATCTAAGCAGATTAAACGTCAGCTTTCTCGGTGGTCCTTCATATTTATTTTGCAGGCCGTCAAACCCATCCTCTGTCTCTCTGTCTTCAGTCTCTCCGGGCGTCTTTCTCTCTCTCGGCCGCGCCGCCTGTGCCCTTGTCTGAGACATTCTCTGCGTCCTTCACTCTCTCTCTCTGCTCCTGAAAGCTCTCGTTAATGTTCTTTGCTGGGGCGCGGTATTAATCAGAACATTCGCTGACATTTCCCTGGCGATGTTCGCTCTGCGACCCCTCCCCGCGGACAGGCTGCTGAAGAAATATATCCGCATTTAATTCAGCGCCATCGCCGATCTCCATCTCCGGAATATCACTCAGATCTCTGCGGCGGCACATTTATTTCCAGGAGATAAGTGAAGGTTATTCTGAAGGGGATCGGCAGCGGGAAAGAAACCTCAAATCCCACGTTCAGTCCATATATGTTCCGGGAGGAAACCCGCACGGCGTCCGGTGATGAATTAGAACGCGTCGCAGCAGTGCGCTCATTGCTGGTCAGCGGGGTGCCGCCATTGTGAATAGTCAGCAGTTGTGTTTTCCACTGCAGGTTACTCAGCAATGGCAGCATGGTCCTGGCCAGTGCTATGGGGACCCAATGACTCTTCCAGCTCAGTGACTAAACAGTGATGAGGATGAGGATGACGGTCCTGAAAACTGCTCCTTTAAAAATGGAAAAACACTGATACTGACATTGGTGCCGACCCCACACAGCCCACCTGAGACCCTGCACAGCTCTCCTGAGACCCTGCACAGCCCACCTCAGGCCTCGGACAGCTCACCTCAGACGCCACAAAGCTCTCCAGAGACCCCGCACAGCCCACCTCAGACCCCGCACAGCCCACCTCAGACCCCGCACAGCCCACCTGAGACCCTGCACAGCCCACCTGAGAACCCGCGCATCCCGACTTGACCCCGCACAGACCTCCTGAGAGACTCTGCACAGCCCACCTGAGACCCCGCACAGCTCTCATGAGGCCCCTGCACGTCCCTCCTGAGACCCCGCACATCCCAGAGACCCTGCACATCCCACCTGAGAACCCGCGCAGCCCACCTGAGACCCTGCATAGACCTCCTGAGACCCCGCACAGCCCACCTGAGACCCAGAACAGCTCTCCTGAGACCCCCGCACATCCCTTCTGAGACCCTGCACATCCCTGAGACCCTGCACTGCCCACCTGAGACCCCGCACCGCCCACCTGAGACCCGACACAGCCCACCAGAGAATCCGCACAGCCCACCTGAGACCCGACACAGCCCACCAGAGAACCCGCATCCACCCACCTGAGACCCCTTATCCGCCCACCTGAGACCCCTTATCTGCCCACCTGAAACCCTGCATCCGCCCACCTGAGACCCCGCACAGCCCACCTGAGACCCCGCAAAGCCCACCAGAGAACCTGCACCGCCCACCTGAGCCTTCAAGGATGTGTCAGGAGGTGAAGTAGTGACACAGAGATATTTCTAACAGGGACATAGAGAAATAAATGCAGATATTAGAAGGTATCATATACAACTGGGGCGGCCAAACTTCAGCTGTAATGAAACTACAAATGCCTCATGGGACTTGTAGTTCCACAGCAGTAGTTGTCCGCCCCTGATATAAAGTAATATGTGTTTCTCTCATTATTATACCTCATGTAACCTCTTATAATGCAGCGATCTGCCTAATCGTATCAGATTGTAAGCCCTCAGGGGCGGGGCCTCCTTACCATCTGGTATTGTATTGTGATTGTCTTCCTTATATTGTACAGCGCTGCGCAAACTGTTGGCGCTATATAAATCCTGTATAATAATCGTCATCTTAATTTCTATTCTAGATGCGAGACGTACAGAATGAGCATTTGACGCGATTTGTTGGGGCTTGTACTGACCCGCCCAATATCTGTATCCTGACCGAGTACTGCCCCCGGGGGAGCCTGCAGGTGAGAACTGTCATATCTTATATTCTGCAGAGCATTCCATCACTAGAGATCTGACAGATACAGAGTCATATATTCTGCAGATTATTCCACCACTGACCCCTCTAGAGATCTGCAGAACATCGCTCCGTCCCATCTCCCCCTGACAGATACATATTGTTATATTCTGCAGATTATTCCACCACTGACCTCTCTAGAGATCTGCAGACCATTGCTCCGTCCCATCTCCCCCTGACAGATACATATTGATATATTCTGCAGATTATTCCATCACTGACCTCTCTAGAGATCTGCAGACCATTGCTCCGTCCCATCTCCCCCTGACAGATACATATTGATATATTCTGCAGATTATTCCATCACTGACCTCTCTATAGATCTGCAGACCATTGCTCCATCCCATCTCCCCCTGACAGATACATATTGATATATTCTGCAGATTATTCCATCACTGACCTCTCTAGAGATCTGCAGAACATTGCTCCGTCCCATCTCCCTCCTGACAGATACATATTGATATATTCTGCAGATTATTCCACCACTGACCTCTCTAGAGATCTGCAGAACATTGCTCCGTCCCATCTCCCCCTGACAGATACATATTTATATATTATGCAGATTATTCCACCACTGACCTCTCTAGAGATCTGCAGAATATTGCTCCCTCCCATCTCCCCCCTGACAGATCCATATTGATATATTCTGCAGATTATTCCACCACTGACCTCTCTAGAGATCTGCAGAATATTGCTCCATCCCATCTCCCCCCTGACAGATACATATTTATATATTCTGCAGATTATTCCACCACTGACCCCTCTAGAGATCCGCAGAACCATGGCTCCTTCCCTTCTCCCCCTGACAGATACATATTGATATATTCTGCAGATTATTCCATCACTGACCTCTCTAGAGATCTGCAGAACATCGCTCCGTCCCATCTCCCCCTGACAGATACATATTGATATATTATGCAGATTATTCCATCACTGACCCCTCTAGAGATCTGCAGAACATTGCTCTGTCCCATCTCCCCCTGACAGATACATATTGATATATTATTGATATATTCTGCAGATTATTCCACCACTGACCTCTCTAGAGATCTGCAGAATATTGCTCCGTCCCATCTCCCTCCTGACAGATACATATTGATATAATGATATTGATATATAACATTTGGTGGTCATGTGACTAAGTGTTATATTTCCTTTCTGTAGGATATTCTGGAAAATGAGAGTATTACCCTGGATTGGATGTTCCGATATTCATTGACAAATGACATTGTTAAGGTGAGTGGGGACTTTCCTGAACATTCTGATCATGTTATCAATCAAACTTTACTTTACATTGGCAGAAATCAATGTAATCAGCATTAGTCGCCACCTAATGAACCTTCAGACTATTAACAATCCATTAATACTGCATGTCACTAGTAGGGCCCTATGGGAGGACAGCGTAGACAGGGGACGTCTATATATATATAAATAAAAGGAATCAAACTGATATTTTTACCAAAATGGTCCACATTGGCCATGACATGGTGGTATGCGCTTGGTTATAATGGGGTTGGTGCAGCACAACGCAAAATTATAAATGGGAATGAACTCAGACAAGATTGCATGAAGTGTGCCCGAGCGATATGAGATGAGTTCCCCAGTCACTGTGGTTCCATTAGTCTTCATCCCATTGGGCTGACTGTCTATCTCTCCTCCAGGGAATGCTCTTCCTGCACAACAGCGTCATCGGGTCCCACGGGAATCTGAAGTCCTCCAACTGCGTCGTGGACAGCCGCTTCGTCCTGAAGATCACCGACTATGGCCTGGCCAGCTTCCGCAGTTCTGTTGACTCGGAAGATTCTCACGCTTATTTTGCCAGTAAGATGGAAGGGCTCCGCTCAGGAGATTAATGACCTACATGTATGGGGAAGTCTGCATGGAGGCAGCTTAGGGAACTTCACAGTGTATGAACCTCAAGGTGTCTGACACTACTGATGGTTCTCCTGGTTGTCATTAAGAAGTAGAGATGTACCGATACTAGTATCGGTATCGGTCCCGATACCAAGTACTCACCCAAATACTCCCGATGCTTACTCCAATACGGGAACTTCCAGTATCAGGAAGCTTTACATGCTGCCGGCTTCCTGATTGGCCAGGATGCCGGCTCCCTCACCTGGGGGCATTTCCCAGGCCAATCAGGAAGCCGGGCGGCATGTAATGACTTGCTTCCCGGCTTCCATGAGTAGTCAGGAAGCCGGGTGGCAAATCATTACCTGCCGCCCCAGCCTCCTGATTGGCCAGAAAGCCAATTGGTGACGAGAGAGCATGGAGCCGGCTTCCCAGGCCAATCAGGAAGCCGGGCGGCATGTAATGACTTGCTTCCCGGCTTCCATGAGTAGTCAGGAAGCCGGGTGGCAAATCATTACCTGCCGCCCCAGCCTCCTGATTGGCCAGAAAGCCAGGTCCATGGCCAATCAGGAAGCTGGGCGGCATGTAATGACTCAACCCCCGGCTTCTCGATTGATCAGGAAGCTGGCCAATCAGGAAGCCGGGTGGCGAGTCATTATACACCCTCCAGACTCCTGATTCCCCAGAAAGCCGGCTCCATGCTTTCTCATCACCTGGTGACGAGGGAGCATGGAACCGGCTTCCCGGGTAATCAGGAACCCAGGGGGCGAGTCATTACACACCGCCTGGTTTCCTTAATGGGCCTTCCGGCATCGGTATTCAGTATCGGCGAGTACCGGGAAAAAAAATATCGGTACTCGATACAGAAAAACCGGTATTGGTGCATCGCTATAAAGAAGACCCTTGGCCCTAGGCCCAATCCTTACCCCAACCAAGCTATTTGGCACACTTAAACTATCCACAGTGTGTCCTTCTAATGGCCTCCTATTGGAAGGTGGGACAGTGTAGGAGGAATTGCTAGAACAATGTAGTCATATGACCCGTTGCACCAACATTTAGTAGTATAAGTACTGATTTGGTAGTGTGGAGAAGGTAAAGAAAAATAGATTTCCAAATATTGTGGCATTCATTCATACATTTCAGGTTTGTATTTAGCTATGTGAAAAGTTGGGTCCAAGAGAAGCTTTAAAGGGAAGATGAAATGAATGATTGGATATTACAGCAATGTTGTCATGATGTAAAAGTTTCACTCTTCTACCTGCTGCTGGTTCTGCCATTCTGAGATGTGTCCTCACCAATTGTTGTTGTAGAGAGACTGTGGACCGCTCCTGAGCTCCTCCGTATGGAGTCCTCCAATTCTCAGGGGACCCAGAAAGGAGATGTCTACAGCTTTGGCATCATACTTCAGGAGATTGCTCTTCGGAATGGGGTCTTCTACATGGACAGCAGTGACTACAGCCCCAAAGGTGGGTGTCCAACCAGCGTGCTGACTACACCAGGCGCCAGTGTTTCTTCTGTCACTTCCTGAACTCTCTGTTTCCGTTTTAGAAATAATAGACCGAGTAAAGAGCCAGGAGAAGCCGTACTTCCGACCTTCCACCAACCTTTACTGCCATATTCAGGAACTGGGGGTGCTCATGCAGAGGTGCTGGGCAGAGGATCCTCTTGACAGGCCGGACTTCAACCAGATTAAAGTTCTGCTACGCAAGTTCAACAGGTGATGATCTGGATAATGGAAACTTCTTCGAGCTGAACTTCTACTTGTGTTTATCTAAGACTTGGACAGGGAAGCATTACTTCAGGTGTTGTTCTAGTTGGTAATAGGGACCTAATGTGTGCCAAGAAACATACCCACCAGTCTGGACCACTGACATCATATGGGAGGCCAAGTAACATTTCCCATCAGTCTAGACCACTTTCACCACATAGGAGGCCAAGTAACATTTCCCATCAGTCTGGATCACTGGCACTATATGGAAGGCCAAGTAACATTCCCATCAGTCTAAACACTTTCACCATATAGGAGGCCAAGTAACATTTCCCACCAGCCTGGATCACTGGCACTATATGGAAGGCCAAGTAACATTTCCCATCAGTCTAAACCACTTTCACCATATAGGAGGCCAAGTAACATTTCCCATCAGTCTGGATCACTGGCACTATATGGAAGGCCAAGTAACATTTCCCAGCAGCTTGGATCACTTTTACCATATAGGAGGCCAAGTAACATTTCCCACCAGTCTAGACCACTTTCACCATATAGGAGGCCAAGTAACATTTCCCACCAGTCT